AGGTATGATTTAAGATATGCTTAAATTTCAGTTTTCGTGCTGTGAAGGGCCTTTCAATTTCTTTGCAGTTGTACAATGCCCGACACTAACAGCACCAGCAAATGGTGAGATGAGTGGTTCCAGTTCTTACCAGGATGTAATACAGTTCACCTGTCACTCCGGTTACGAACGTGTGGGTGCTGCAAGTATCACGTGTCAAGCCGATGGCACATGGAGTGGCAATGTTCCCAGTTGTGGAGGTTAGACATGGTTCCTTTCATTAATGGACACTTTTGGCATTTTATACTTGTGAAGTTACTCCCCTGGTCTTTGACCCGGTCCAACTTACCCCCAGCAAAGCCTAAATATACTTTGGAGGTTAAATTTTGTGTCTTTTTTATGGACACTATAGGCATTTCATACTTGTAACAAGTGTAACTTAGTTAAAGATTAACATCAGAATACATCTATTATGTTTATGTGGAGTTTATTTGCATAATAATGATTAAATGAAGACAGAAAAACTTGATAAATGCATGAGATTTATGTATTTTAAGTTGAGAAAATTAGATTACGCTAAATGTAACTATTATTAAAGAGACTAATAAACAAATTACAAGGGGTCTAAATAGTTTATGTAGGTATGAGGTATCCGATTATTTTGTAAAATCGTTGTGCTTGACAAGGTACGATGTTTTTTTTGGACGGAATACATCAAGCAGTGTTGCATCACACTGTCATCCTAATGAATTTATGGGATTTAATCCCTTATGCAAAATAAAAGAAGTGCGCGATTTAACTGATATAGCAGCTTGCATGACCATAATTTTACGCGTCACCTAAACATTTCGAAAGTAAAATGTCGTGTACTTTATTCCTTTTTTGTCCACCATTTGCTTTTATGATAAACATGTTCATTTTCATACATACATACATACAGTCGTGCAGTGTCTCGTACTGACATCCCCTACAAACGGTGCCGTGAGTGGCTCTAACTCGTATGGAGACGTACTGTCCTTTACGTGTGACACAGGATACAACTTGGTAGGCTCTACTACACTTACTTGTCAATCAGATGGGACTTGGAGCGGGAGTTCACCAACATGTACAAGTAAGATGTCTTCAAAAAATCTGTAGGTATTAATGGATTCCGAACATTGCAGGACCATGTAAAAACTAAGAATTCGTGACCATAACCCACACAGAGATGAAATGGAAATTTCAACATCATCAGTAAACAACCTCATCAAGTTCATGAAGTACATTATAAGGACAGCAATAGCGTAGAAGATGAAATACACATTGACTGTAAGATATTTAATTATCTCATAACTACGACTAATCACCACACACGGCGGTCTGTCACTACGGCATTCTTTCCCATTGCTGGTGGCGTTCGATACAGTATCGGGTTACAAGACGCAATTTTGGGCTAACCGTAAAACATTTGAAAATAAACAAAGTAGAATCGAAGGGAAATTTTCGTTGAAATAAAATAGAATTATCGTCTTTACATACATTCAATGGTGATTTTTTGCTCTAAATGGATGATTTTTTTTTTGGATTTCGTTAAAAAAGTCGATAATTTTTGGGATTTCGGACCGCCATATTTTAGCCAATCACCGAACAAACCTGGCTACACATATTACGCAAGATCACTGATTTTTATATTTTTCGACGACTAGGAATAAGATCAAAAATCATGTGTTAGGGATTTTTTAATTACCGATTTTAAGTATAGTTTTTGTCGACATATTGGTGAAAAAATTGCATTTTTGACATTTTTCTCACCAAATTACCCATAATTCAAAATTAAGACCATTTTTCAAAAATCCCTAAAATACGATTTTCCGGACAACTGTGACAGTCATTTTGAGCCGTAAATGGGGTATGTTTGCTTCTCCACGCTTCCAGGTTTGAACGAGTTGTGCAGACTTCTCATATCGCCGGAAAGTGTGCAATGTGTTATTCATACTATCGTCAAGAACCATTACAGTATTCAAGGTCACCCAAGGATACGCCAGTAGCTTCGCTACATGTTACATGTCTACAAAAAATGATAGCGTACATGTACTGTCCTGGAAACTGTTTGTATCTTCAGAAATGCGTTGTTTTTTTTATCTGTTGCGAGCCACACAGGCAGAAGGGGTTGTTTTGCCGCTTTATTGTAAATGACCGCAGGTGACCCCGAAATGGAACGCGGGTTCGATTCGAATTGCCCAGATCGAACACGATCGAACACAGTTCGGGTTGTATGAAATGTGGGAACTTTGCAGCCCAGATTTTACCACCGTGACACATGCCAATTTATCTCCTCTTTCCTTATAAAGTGCTTCATGAACTTGATGAGGTTGTTTACTGATAATGTTGAAATGTCCATTTCATTGCAGTTGTACAATGCCGGGCGCTAACACCCCCAGCAAATGGTGAGATGAGTGGTTCCAGGTCTTACCAGGATGTAATGCAGTTCACCTGTCACTCCGGTTACGAACGTGTGGGTGCTGCAAGTATCACGTGTCAAGTCGATGGCACATGGAGCGGCAATGTTCCCAGTTGTGGAGGTTAGACATGGTTCCTTTCATTAATGGACACTTTTGGCATTTTATACTTGTGAAGTTACTCCACTGCTCTTTGACCCGGTCCAACTTACCCCCAGCAAAGGTGGGTGTATGATCGATGAGACAAATAAGATAAAAATTGCTAAGTTTCATATTATTTTATGTAGGTATGAGGTATAAGAAGTCTTGTGGTAAAATCATCCGCTTGACAACATGGTTATTTGAAGGAAAAATTCAAAATTTCGCATCCCTTTTTCTAGCCGTAGCGTGTCCAATACTGTCAGCTCCTGCAAACGGTGCAATGAGTGGATCCAACTTCTACCAAGACTTGGTGCAGTTCACGTGTGGTTACGGATACGACCTTGTTGGAAATTCTGCATTAACTTGCCAATCTGATGCCACTTGGAGCGGATCTGTTCCAACATGCACGCGTATGACTAGCGTTATCTTTTATCTTTTATTCGAGTTGTCAATATCTTTGCTTACCATTCGCGTATGTCTATGGATTAGATTGTACTTAAATTCTTATCTTTCTTATCTTTCCAGCCGTGCAGTGCCCAATACTGACAGCTCCTCTGAACGGTGCAAAGACTGGATCCAATTTCTATCCGAACATGGTACAGTTCTCGTGCAGTTCCGGATACAACCTTGTAGGAAACTCTGCATTAACCTGTCAGGCTGATGCAACCTGGAGCGGAACCGTCCCGACATGCACACGTATGGATTTTTTTAAGCATTACAAAGTATTTGTCAGTATTTATCCAAGCAGACCTATTCTTTTATCGATGAGGTTGCTCTGAATAAATTCTCTTCGTGTACTTGTTTTATAGGCAAGGAGTGCTTGCTGCTGACAGCTCCTACAAACGGTGCAATGACTGGATCCAATCTCTATCAAGACGTGGTAACGTTCACCTGCAATTCAGGATACAGCCTTCTAGGAAACCCTTTATTAACTTGCCAAGCTGATGCCACATGGAGTGGGACTGTCCCAATATGCCCACGTATGGCGAAAATTATTGTTTAGTAGAATAATTTTTCATTTGTGTTACTGTTTTTTTTTAATCCATACCTTCTAATTCATACAAGATACTTTTTTGTCTTATTTTTGAGACAGTTTTAAATTCTACCCTATTTAATTTGAATAGCCGTGCAGTGTCCGCTACTGTCAGCTCCTGCAAATGGTGCAAAAACTGGATCCAATTTCTACCAAGATGTGGTGCATTTTACGTGCGGTTCTGGATATAACCTTGTGGGAAGTAACGAATTAACCTGCCAGGCTGATGCCAGATGGACTGGGACTGTTCCAACATGCACACGTATGACCAAGATTGTCTTTAACGTGTTTCATTGTTTTCATTATTCAAGTTACTGATTTCGTTTAATTCAAAACTAGTTTTTTTTGCGCTGGTCTGAAAATTTATCCTTATTTCATTAGCTGTGGAGTGCCCGCTACTGACAGCTCCTGTAAACGGTGCCATGTTCGGATCCAATTTCTATCAGGACATCATACAGTTCAACTGCAATCCTGGATACGAGCTTGATGGAAGTTCTAACTTAGCATGCCAAGTCGATGCCTCGTGGAGTGGGTCTGTTCCAACATGCGAACGTAAGATAAATATTATATTTACAGTCTATTGTAGTTCTTTTTGAGTAAGTTCTTGCTCACCCGATCCATTCTATTTTGTCAGCAAGATTAAGAGGACTTTATTTAGAATGCATTTTTCCACCTAGGTGTACAGTGCCCACTGTTGACAGCTCCTGAAAATGGTGCGATGACTGGCTCTAATTACTTCGAGGATTCGGTGCTGTTCACATGCAGTGCTGGATATGATATTGTAGGAAGCTCTGCATTAACATGCCAAGCTGATGCCACATGGAGCGGGACAGTCCCAACATGTACACGTACGAGCAACAATATTTCAGTGCTAAGAAATGGGTTGTCATTTGATTCGATTTTTAAATCTTCCTGATTTATCAAGTCACTGTCATGACATTGCCTTGAAACACGTTTTGTCTTTACCAGGTGTGGAGTGCCCGCTTCAGGCAGATCCTGCAAATGGTGCAAAGACTGGATCGAATTTCTATGAAGACGTGGTACATTTTACGTGCTATTCAGGACATGATCTTGTTGGGAATCCTACCATAACATGCCAAGCTGATGCCACATGGAGTGGGAGCGCCCCAACATGCTCACGTAAGATGAACAACAATACTTAAAAAAAAACGTACTGATTGAAATACATTTGTTTTTTTTGTTTTTTTTCAAAATATAATCCCCTTTTTTTTTAATTTTTCTGATTTTTCTTTCAAACTTACTAGGCATAGAGTGTCCAGTGCTGACGGCTCCAGTGAACGGTGCAATGTTTGGAAACAATTTTTTCCAAGACGTGGTAGAGTTTACGTGCAACTCCGGATACGATCGTGTCGGCACTTCCAGCTTGTCTTGCCAAGCTGACCGCACGTGGAATGGGGTCGTTCCAACCTGCACACGTAGGTTGACATAAGTTGACTCCGTAGAAACAATCAATAAATACTATTGAACAATTTCAATTATTCTGCCGATACAAATTATATACAGCATTCAAACGCAAGCTTATTATTTACCAAACATGCCGATAGTGTCAGGGGACATTCCCTAATCGATATTGCAACTGTAAGATAATATAACATAATTTTTATTTTATACTAAATATAGAATAGAAGTAAAATTATTTGGGAGATTTTCTATGCTAGGAAAATTGAATTTATCATCTACAAAATGTATATTTTTTACTTGATTAGGCGTGCAGTGCCCAATGCAGGCAGCTCCTGAGAATGGAGTCGTGACCGGAGGCAATTTCTACCAAGACGTGGTGCTGTTCACGTGCGATACTGGATACGAGCTTGTTGGAACCTCCAGCCTGACCTGCCAGGCAGACCGTACCTGGGACGGGATTGCGCCAACTTGTACTCGTGAGATAAACAGATGCCTTTGCTTAGTACTTTTTTTTAATTTAAACATCCCCTTTATTACCTTCAAGGGAATTACCGTGTTGTCTGTGTGTCTGTCTGTCTGTGTTTCCGCACATTTGTGGTCAGCATAACTTCATAACGCCTTTATGGATTGTGATGATATATAGTATTCTGGTTAGTCCTAGTAAGACGAAGGTCATGTTCAAATATGGACCTCCTGGTGGATGACCTTGGTGCTGCACCAGAACTTGCTTTTGTATTTTTTGTCCTGAACATGCTATGGTCTTGTCTTTTGGGTGACACATAGCTTTTTCTGTCAGGAATAAGTGGTGTGGGTTTGGTCGCTATAGCTGCTTGTTTTGACATGTTTTATTGCTATTGCCTACCTGTCCACCGTGATTTGCCCACTGCGGAAATGCTTACGCCAGAACTGGCCTCCTTCTCCTCTTTAATGATATTGCTCATTTGTAAAATTTAAAGACGCATTTCTTATTTGATCAATTTGATTTTTTTCAGGTGTGGAGTGCCCGGTCCTGATAGCTCCTGTGAACGGTGAAATGACGGGATTTAATTTCTACCAGGACTTGTTGCAGTTCACGTGCGATACTGGATATGATCTTGTTGGAAGAGTCAGTTTGACCTGCCAAGCTGATCGTACATGGGACGGGGTTGCCCCAACGTGCACACGTAAGTTTAGCTGTTCCAAAGCGCACAATCAGACAAGCAAAAACATATACTATACATAGCCATGTCAACTAGATAATACTGTATATTACATACATACTACAATAAATGTTATATACTGAAACAAAACACCACACTTTCGGCGTTAGATTGGGACAATACAGTTATTCGAAAATATATACACCTGATTTTTATTACTAAAAATACATAATAGTCCTTTACAAACACCCACCTGCACAATTCTACTATCGATACTTTGGTTGAACATCATATATAAGGCACTTCCAACAATGATACATTTCTTTTTTCTTTACCAGGTGTGCAGTGCCCGCCATTGCCATCCCCTGTAAATGGTGCTTCGACTGGCAACAACTTCTACATGGACACGGTTCACTTCACGTGTAACTTAGGATATTATCTGATCGGAGATTCCCTTTCCACCTGTCAAGCGGATCAGTCTTGGAGCAGAAATGTCCCTTCGTGCAACGGTAGGTTGTTAATCTGAAACTAAAATGCCGTTTTCTTTAAATCCCAATTCAATCAAATCCATTTACATGTACATCAGTTAGGCCACACTATCTTAATGTTCTGGATTACACCCTCGCGCGCATTGATTTTCAGTTGTCCTCGAAAAAATAATCACGTCCTCCGAAGCTCTTGCCCTGCTCTAGGCCTGGGTAGCCCATGGTAGTTAGCGTCAATAGGGAGCAGGTGGTAACCCTGGGGGATGGCACCCAGGGTACCGAAGCTCCAAGACTCAAGATCTCAGTAAATACGTACAGTGCTGATTCATAAACTCCGCAAACCGCCAACATGTGTCGGCCTGTCGTGTTGTACGTCGCTAAGTACTGAAGCAAATTCAAAATACCAGCTTTTGTATTTTTGTTGGTAAGTAGTATTTTTATTTTTGGCCGGATTTTTTTTTTATTCGCCGCGCGCACTAGTTTGGGGGTCTTCAGAGGAGGTCATCCACAAAATTAAGTCGGTGTGGCCTTATGTAGGTATAGTCGTCTGACATGTGTGTGTACATACGCACACGGAACACAATATGTATCGATGGTTTTAGTTAAGCATCTCGCCTTAAATGGGCCACAGTTAGAACGATTAATGTTTAGTTAAACCTTGACAGATAACATATACTTATGGAAATTAACATTAATAGTTTTTATTGTTTTCAATCATACACCCTTCTCCTTACCAATAAAGCCCTTCTTGCACAAAAGTGTTCATCTGCACGTTTTCTGTTCGACCCAAAGTCACGTTGTAGCGACTTGATTCGATATTTAGATTATAATCAGGCTGAACTCTGCCCAGTTTTAAATCATATCTCGTTGCATTACCTTTTTTTGAGAATAACTTTAAAGTTAAATAGTTTAATGCTAGTTGCCTTGGAAATATTGCAACCAGCAACAGGCTTTAGATGTATTAGTGACTAGAATGTCTTTCTCTATCTTTCTCTCAATGCAGACATTGATGAATGTTCAGCTGCAAATGGTGGCTGTGACCATGTATGTACCAACACAATGGGTACATTCCATTGCTCCTGTGTAACTGGCTACAATTTGAATGCAGATGGTTTTTCCTGTAATGGTAAGACTATCTATTATTTACATATTCGTGTATGCAAGTATTTCATGATATCTTTTTGTAGCCAAATAACAAAACTAAGACTTGAATTGTATTCAAATGTAAACTCAAATCTTTATTTTAAAATGTGAACTCAAATCTTTCAACCTATATCTGTTTTGTTTAGATATTGACGAATGTAGCATTGCGAACGGCGGGTGCCAGCAAAATTGCAACAACTTTATCGGAAGCTTCCAGTGTTCCTGTGGGACTGGCTACAATTTAAATAGCGATGGTTTTGCCTGTGACGGTTTGTATCTCTTGAAATCTATCAAATTTGCCCATGCATTTCAACTGAATGTTCGATTTTTTATTTGGTGCCATTTGAGTTTTGCGGCATAAGTGTCCATCCTTACGCCTTCAGATCATTGTTTTGCTAGATACCCTTCGACGGCGTTCATTAAAATGTCAGAAAACATAGACCATACAGAAACCATACTTTAAGAGCGAATATCATAACAAGTTAATGACGAAATGTGCGCTTACAGATGAAGACGAATGTTTTATTGCCAACGGTGGCTGTGACCAGACATGTTCCAACACCATTGGCAACTTCTCTTGTTCCTGTTGGACTGGCTACAATTTGAACAGCAACGGATTTATCTGTGACGGTACGCACGTTTTATCTTTGACAGCCGTGTTTAGAAATCAAATTATAATTGGCTGAAGTGTGATTTCTAGAATTTATTTTATTATGGGTTCACCACACCACGAAGTGGTGGTGAACCCATATTGCTTTTTCTGATGTTTCTTCTCCTCCTTCTTCTCCTCCTCCTTCTTCTCCTGCCATTTTTAAATGGATTCAGCTTCTTCATTTTAGGGCCTAAGGTCCTGAAATTTGGTATGGAGGTACAGTGGGCAAATACCCCTAGGCGTTTTTTAAATTTTTGTGATACGGGCTTTTAGAATGGTTTTATTTGAGTTTTTTGGCTGTGTTATAGCAAATGTATTACTGTGTTAGTTTGCCGTGTTTACCACGTCTGGGCATGAGTCATCACAATGGAATGCAGGGCATCAACATTAGGCATGCAGCTTTCCGCTATACTTCTTGCTGATTGGCTGTTGGGATTTAACTTGATTAACACCTGCACAGAGCATTTCCACCTGCACAGAGCATTTCTTGCTGATTGGCTGTTGGGATTTAACTTGATTAGCACCTGCACAGAGCATTTCCATACTGACAGTATGTCTTTATTCAAGTGTTTTGGTAGGTATTTCAAGCTTTTCTGCTCCAGCATTGGAATGCGGGGCATGAACGTTTTTTTTTTATTTTGAAAATCAACAGTTTGCATTATGCAATTAAAAATACTAACCAATAAAGTAGGGAATAGCTATCCAACTGTTGTTTTAGTTGTATGTTACTTCATATTATAGTTATATCAATGTAAATCATTGTTTTCCCTTGTGTTTCTCATTCTTTCCCTGCCATGTGGTAAAATGTGGTGAACCCATCGCTGTATTTGCTCCAAAGCAAATATTGGCCTTTCTAGTTTGCCTTATATTAACAGGAAAGTGTTGTTGTTTACTAAGAATCCCGAATAATCTACCTATTTTTGGGCGGACTTAGAAGAACCCCTGAATTTGTTGCTACTTGGGTTCACTCTAGCGTGTTTTTTGGCACATAAGTCACCGGCATTGCTATTTTCATGATATTTGAACAATGATTTACACTGTACAGTTTAAATTGTCTAAAATAATAAAAAATAGTGTATTTTAATACAGATGTTGACGAATGCTCAACTCTGAATGGCGGCTGTGAGCAGATATGTACCAATACCATCGGAAGTTTCCAGTGCTCTTGCCAGGATGGCTATAGCCTTAACAGCGATGGATTCGCTTGTGATGGTGAGCACCTCTCTAGTGATATTTTCATGATAGAATGGGCATTATAAACCCTCTGATGCAGCCTGCTAAGTCTTCTAACAACAATTTATTGTTCTATACCATGTATACGTAGATTGTACACATGTAGATTTCAATATTTTAAATATACTAATTAGCTAGTTAGCTCTTTTAATTTTTAAAAAAGTCTTTGATGACTCAATATGTGATATATAATATTTCATATAAAATTAAACTATAGCAACGTAGTCCACGAGCAGAGAACAAACCATATTGAATTGTACAGTACCATATGTGTTTTACTGCAGATGTCGATGAGTGTGCTTCAGGAAATGGCGGCTGTGAGCAGACTTGTACCAATCATATCCCGAGTTTCCAGTGTTTGTGTGATGTGGGCTACATCCTGAATGTTAACGGGTTCACCTGTGACGGTAGGTATCGTTGATTCTTCCTCTTTGAAGGTGTAATGGTATCAATGAAGTGTAGAGCGGAATGTGATTCCTAATGTTTCGAATTTTAATTGGAATGCTCTAGATTTAATGTTTTACGCAATACGCTTTTCACAATTATTCACAACAAAAAATGCCGAAAGTCATAATTACCCCTACATTATTGCATATTAGCAAGTTTTTTTTTAATTTTAGTAAGTAGAATGTTAAACTAAATGCTACTCTTATTTTTTTTTTACTTTGTTCAATAGTCTTTGCCAAACATTGTATTATGTACAATCCTCTTGCAATAAATTTTATTTTGTAATGTCTTTTTGTAAATCTATCACACATGCTATACACTACAGATGTGAATGAATGTTCCTCTGTAAACGGTGGCTGTGAACACAGTTGCACAAAGAACATCGGGAGCTTCCAGTGTTCTTGCCTCCACGGTTACATCTTAAATACTGATGACCTCGCATGTGATGGTGTGTATTTTCTTTTCGTATTTCGTATTTCCTGGATTAACTTTGGGCAAATACAAAAACTAAAAAAAAGAAAATTATTTTATGATAAAAAATGATTTGCATTTGGCTGTACACAATAGAATTTTCATTAGTTTTGAACATGAATCAGGTATTTTTGCTCTTTCTTTTTTCTAGACATAAATGAATGCTCCACTGCAAATGGCGGATGTAACCAGACCTGCACCAACCTCATCGCCAGTTTTGAGTGTTCTTGTGGAGCTGGCTATAGTTTAAATGATGACGGGGTTTCTTGTGACGGTACGAACCTAGTAGTAATTGTTGGAATAAAGTTAGCTCACAATTTTTCAATGCAATTGTTTTTTTTTATTGTTTTTTTTTTACAATGCAGGAATGTTAGAAAAGACATTAACCAGAGTTTATTTCTTTTTGTCAATTTACTTCAGATATCGATGAATGTGGTACAGCAAATGGAGGTTGTGAGCAAAACTGTACCAACACCATAGGAAGTTTTCAGTGTATCTGCCGCACTGGATATCTATTGAATACCAACGGTTTTACATGTGATGGTAGGTATTATTAGCATGCTTTTTTCCACATCCTAGTTTTTTTTTTGCTTTTGCTGTTCGCATATCTGATTGACTATTCGGGGATAATGAGATAAATATGGTCAAATGGAGGTTTACAAATTGTTAAAAAGAAAGACATTTAAAGTACACCAATGTTCCAGGCATGTAACGTTTGCTTCTGCCGAATCATTTTATTTAGGACATACAATGGAAATATGCCAGTGACTACACGGAATCTGTTTTTTTTTTCGCAGATATAAACGAATGCAATACTGCCAATGGCGGTTGCTCTCACGTTTGTAACAACACCATCGGTAGTTTTTCATGCTTCTGCAGCACGGGATACATGCTGAATGTCGACGGGTTTGCCTGTGACGGTAAGAAAATTTCAGTAATATTAGTATCGATTTAAAAGACGGCAAATGCTATGGTAACTTTAAGAACATTTCTGTTACAATAAACTAAGTATATTTCTTTCTTCAGACATTGATGAATGTGACACTGCAAACGGAGATTGTGGGCAGTTCTGTAACAACACTGTGGGGAGCTTCAGTTGTTACTGTGCACATGGGTACAGTCTGGGTGTGGGACCTTTTAGCTTGTGACGGTAGGACGTGTTCTCGTTTCAAATAATTCAAGAAGCTTTTTCCTAACTTCATCCGACTGTTTGTACCATAATGACTTTTCATTAAAGTGACACTTCTAAAGTCTTTGATGTTTTGAATGAATTATGATTTATGTAAACATTGATCACGGAACAAGTTGCTTTCATTGTTCTGTGATCACGGAACACGTTGCTTTCATTGTTCTGTTGTCATTCAGCAATCATTAGTTGTAAGTAGATGAATACAATTTTGATAACATTGAATTGCCAGGATGTTTTTCAATCACTTTTACATCTAGGATTTGATCCGGTTTCGCATCTCTCGTGCTCGACTATAACGACTACATCAGTATCCATCACTTGGATCGAGCCTGTCGCTGACATAATGGGATACGGTATTATCTACAAACTTACACAGGGTAAGTATCCACCAGATAATAGAATAACATCATTCCGTTTTTATTTAAATTTTGTACTAGTAATGTATGGTAGGTATGAAGGAGTTAATTTTACACAGTTATTCATGATGAACACCAATTGTAAATACATTTTATTAGTGCAAGTATTTAGCAAAGTGTTTCTCACGCTTTGTAGTTCATTGTAATTAGAGGAAATATTGATGTTCTGCAGGGTTCTCTCAACATTCTCCGAAGACATCTGTCCGCAGTGCTGGTAACACTAACGCAACAATACCCGACTTGTTTAGTGGAGTGCGGTACTCCATCTCTGTACTTTCATTTGGATTGTGGAATGACAGCGCGAACGTCAGCATAGAGTGTATAACTGGTGAGAAAAAACATATTATCTTTATGAAAAAAATTCTGGTGAGTAAAAATATTATCTTAAAAAATAACATTTCAAAGATGTCATTAAACATTTTATTTGAGTACAATTGTTTTCTTTTTCTTTTTGCATGTTCATGCCCGAGGGCTAATTGCAAACAGACACTGAAAACAACAATGAGTGCAGAAAAAGTGATATAAAACTATAAAGCAGGTGACTATAAAACGCCTGAGTACATCATATATAATTAGAAACTTATGATATGAACAAATCTACTTTGTAAATTGTAGTCCATGCCAATGTATTCATGAAGCGACACTTATTTATTATTCCAACTAAAGGCCTCCCACCTCCTACCAATATCACCATTACTCTGGCTCGCCAAGATTCAGTCCTAGTCCACTGGTCACAGCCTGTTCGCACGCTGGTGCTCGGGTACAGGGCGTGGCTGACAGACAAGGAAACTAGCTCCATTATTTCTTCACGGCATCTGTCACAGTCAGCTACTTCTGCCAACTTTACTTCTCTGGTTCCTGCCACAGAGTACGTGGTGTCAGTAAGCTGTGTTAGCGCGTTCTTTGAGGGACCTCAAATAGAAGTACCGTTTGTAACAGGTAATCATTTATAAAGAATCATATTTAAAATGAATTATAAAACTTGTTCTTTTATTTATTTTAGGTATTTTTTCATGACATATCGTACTGTGGACGAAGGTACATAATATGTATTAATATGTAGGCAAACGTTAACAACGATATACTGAGGTAGTACTTACTACAGATTGTAATAAAGACGACCTGTAACTGCTTCTGACATTCAATCCACAGACACTGACCCTCCGGTGAGTCTATTTGTAGACGGCATACGCTACAACAGTTTGGCCCTGTTTTGGACCCCGCCAGTTGCCAAGCTTACAGGATACGAGCTCACGTTCGGCATCACAGAAGGACACAGGAACCGAAGATCCACGAGTTCTGTCACCCTTCCTGGTAACAGCGATAACTACCTGATCCAGGACCTGGTACCTGCCACTCAGTACGTGTTCAGCTTGACAGCGGTCAGTCGTTTTGGGAGAAGCGGAGCAATAACGTTTACCGGCACTACAGGTTAGTGATCAACGTAGTATATTGCTACATTAGTACAAAAATTAGTACAATGGACTTGCATTATAATCCTCATCATGCCTCTGGATTAATTATCTGGTGAGGTAAACTTGATAAAGTTACTTGCATATCTATGTATTAAACTAATTTCTCTTTGTATCCTAAAGGCACAGATCCACCAGCTGATCTGAAAGTTCACAAGGTTTCCTCCACCTGGCTGTATGTGAAATGGACTCCACCTGTCGCAGCTGTTGTCTCTTATCATCTTGAGGTACTAGAAGCTGCAAGCCAGGATGAGATGCACTTCAGGTGAGTTTACAGGCACAATATATACATAAAATTAAACGCTGTGAAAAGGTAAAGCGGACAAACCCATCAACAGTTGCCTTCATGAATTCTAATAGTATTTAGCGGTTTTCTTTATTTTCTTATGTGCAAATTCGTGGTAAAAGCTGGGAATGAAAGGTTAGTTTATGAATAAAATGTCAAAAGCATTCAGTTTTGTTCAGAACTCTTCAATGACAGAAAGGCAGGCATCATAGTAAAAAAAAACTGATTTATACTTACAAGTTCCAAATAATTTTTTTTAATTAAAGAAATTAGGACCCTGGGTCCTGCCATAAACAAGTACTCCCCACTTCTCCAGCAGCTTGAATAGTAAATTGATGCCCATAACAACATAAACTCATAAACATCTTAGACGGTCCAGCAAACAAAAACAATGACAGGGGCAGATTAGCATGACTGTCAATCTTTTTGAACAAATTGAAGTATTTTTCTATACTGGTGTCAAAGTAAGAATTCCAAACCTTGCAGAACTATCAAGATAATTGAAACTTAGTCACATAAACAAGAAATTACTATCAACAACCTTTACATTCGGGAAAACCAACCATGTGTTCAAATTTCAAATTTCTAAACATCCTTCAAATGTGTCGAAGAATATTTTTTTTGTAACTTGAAAATATCTTCCTCAAAGCTAAATTAGCTGTAATAGTAAGTGTCTTGAAGTACGCGTCCCTTTCGTGTTCTTTTAGCTGCCTAAGAAAACAGTAATAAGCCATGTTAATTGGAGCTCGGTTTCAGCTGTACAAATACAAGTAATTGTAAGCCAATGTCTAACAATAACAGGCAGTTTGGCAAGCCAGTGTTGCCATTACATTCCAGATTAAGTGAGATTAGCTTCTTACAATATTATGTCGATTGCATATCTGTTGTCTATACATTATAAACTGTCTTGAAGAGTAACTTGTCTTATCACCGTCTTAGCCAGGCCTCTGCACATGTTACTCCGACCATAGTCAAAGCTAGACTGAGGTCTGTTAGTTAACGTTAGCTGAATTTATTGGGTTATCTTATATATTTAATATATATAAGCATGGTCTCTAAGCAACTGCTGGCTAAGAAAAAACATTTTTGGCAGTGTAAGACACATGGGACATATTCATCAACAATATAAACATAAGTACTAAATGTTCAATAAAGAAATGGACTTTTCAAAGCAGGTTTTAAAAGGTTCGCAATTTTTTTTTTACATTGCAGTACGACCCCCTCCTTAACTGCTTACAACATAACGAAGCTCCTCCCAACGACAAAGTACATCATCCGGATTACAGCTGTCAGTATGTACGGGCGTAGCGTCAACATTGAGACATCCGGTAGCACAGGTACATACCTATACTCTACTACTAACGTTGAATTTGCAAAGAAACAATTAGGAATGCAATAAAAACAAATCCGACATATAAATTCAATCTATAAATGCAGCAAAAACAGAAATTCTATATCTGCATAAAAACAGAGCACTGTATATCCGCATATTAATTGTATAAAAAAAATAATATCAACTAGACTTGTAAACCTTTAAAAGCCGACACATGTTGACTACATCAACAAATCAGATGTAAAGTTGTAAACGTGTATCTCCATCAGGTGCAGTCATTGAGTATTCAACAAGTGAAAGCCCCACGTCAGCTGCAGTAACTACAGACAGCCACACCGCAAAGACACAATTTAGGACTACAGAGGCGTTCTGGTTTACCCGCCTGAACAGCTCTACCAAACCAGGTAACAATATCTTTATACAAATGGGTTATTTTATTATGCACATTAATATGTGAAACATAGTTGACATAAATTAAATGCTGCCTGAATTATACGTAAATGACTAGTAGTAATGCTTAATCAATAGATTTTTAATAAAAAATCATTTTTCTTCTACAGATTTTGGGACGGCAATATCTAGCTTTTTGACATAACCAATTTGAAACGGACAATGGATTTGCAAATTTATTTACCCATATGTTCTTTAGTGAACTTTTATTTTCTTTGCAGACTCTACGCGAGACGTAAAAACATTTGCTATGGAGGAATTAGAAACAACGACGATGTCTTTTACAACAGGTTAGTATTTTAAACAGCAGCACACTTCGCTCTAATAGTTATTTTGAAATTTAAATATCTCGAATACTAAGCCAAGTATAGTGAGCATTAGAGCTATATTGGGAATGATAAGTTGAGAACACAAAATCCTTTTTTTTAATCTAATACTAAATACGATTATTATTTTGCAGATACGATGCTCGGAAACGCTGTATCAATCACACCTATGATATTAGCTGGTAAGTTTGGAGAAGACAATATTCCGACATTCATTGACATTTTAAAATATAATAGAATGGATTTGCATATTTATAAATATTAGATCCGTAGACTGCCTATAAAACTTGGAATTCTCATTGTTTGTTTGTTTGTTTATTATTTGCACAACATCAATAAAAGTATACATAATAAATTAATAATGAATAAAACAGGTGCCGGAGGAGGGAAAAAGCTTATTTAGCTTAGGCTAAGCCCTCCTCCTCTATACTAACCTAAAGTAAACATAATTGAATTGAAATAAGACATACATACATAAGGAATTGTTATCAAAATAAATCAAACATTGGCAAAATGATACAATATGAATAATGAAACAGTAGTATATATAAATTGAGATGAAATGATATTGATATGAAATAATACATACATACATAAGGAATTGTTAGCATAATAGTTCAAACATAGGCAAAATGAACAATAACAATAATAAAACAATAGTGTACATGAAATTAATAATAACTGAAGATATGAATCCAATACAGGGGGCTGTGGTGGTTTATAAGATGGGCTTTCAGGGTATTTTTAAAAGTTAGAAAAGAGGAAATGTTCGTATGTTTGTCTGAAGGCTGTTCCATACTGAGACACATTTGTATTTCATTGAGGATTATGCTAATGACGTGCGGAAGAGTGGGATATGCAGTAAATTTCTCTGTCTAGTATTGTGGTTGTGTACAAGTGAATTCGTATTTAGGAAATTATCAAATATATTGGGGAGATTGTTGGAAAGGAAATTGAAAGTGAAAAGGCTAATTTGTAGTTTATTAATATCATGGATATTTTTATTTTTTTTTAAAAGAGGAACTTTTTTTAACAATCGATAAAGCTTAATTGTTTTTCTATGTTTTCTGTTAAATAATGCTTTAAGATAATTTTCTTTTTTGTAGTGAACGGAAATGACAGAGAGGAGCAAAACACTTTAAAAACAACGTTTAGTCTTCTCCAATCGGTATGAAATTACAAAATGTTTGTTATTGTGAATTTTGCAGATTTTTTTCCCGTTAAGATTGATTGTAAATAGATTTAGCTGGTATTTTATACAAAATGTAATTTTTACCGTTACCTTCAATGCTGTTTTTTGCCTTGTATAGATAAATAGTCTGAAAGATCACGTCGACCGATCCTTGAGAGACAAGGCGCCTCCGGATAATGTCGTCAGCATCGTAACAGAAATCCACGATCTGGTCCAACTCGACACATTCCCACTGTCTTCATCTGACTTTCTTATTGAACTGGTAGGATAAGATTTTATCTTCATGCACGATTGAAATAACTATCGTTGGGTAACGGGTAAAACAGGATTATTCCTCACACTTATAATGTTTGTATCATTTAAACAGGAAGCAGCTGTCGAACTGCTTTGTAAATCCTCTGAACTCATAAGAGCTTCTCAGGGCACAACAATATCAACCATGGAGACAATAAATGACGGTAAGGAGAGTATGGGCTAAACCAAATTTAAGATACTTTAATTGACAACAATAATAATTTCAAATAACATTGTATTTGTAATTATAATTATAATTAAAATGCAGTATATTGTCATATCTGTGCTTAGATGCTGTGATTCTATTAGATAATTACTAATTATTAGATAATTACATTAATTATATTTAAAACGACGTTTACATTCTTTATCCATTTTAGTCATGGTACAAACAGTTTCCCGCCTGGTACAAATGCTGCCGGTTGGAAATTTCACCGTTCCTGACACCTCTGAAGGACTTTTTAAAATGGACGTCATCGATGTCAACTCAGCAGATGTTTCCCCGAAACAACAGCTGAAGGACATACAAAACAAGCGAACGAAATTTCAGCTGCAGGTTGGTTGCAAACCTATTCTTTGTCTCCTGAAAATTTATTAACGCGATTCTCTAGATGCGAAGACAGTGGTCTTGTTTTAGTAAGATTACCATTAGTTTTATTAACATCTTTGCTTTGAAATGAACAAATAGATGGGCAATTTAGAATTACATAATTGGCAAACAGGTCAATTTGTATTTGTATTTATCTTCAATTTGCAGTTTCGCAATGCTGGCTTGTGTATGACGGAAGCCATGGACAGGGCGGTTAACTCTTTACTGGCCATGTTGCCATATTTAGAGGACTACGTGACGGCATTTGAAGACGACAATGCCATCGTAGTGATTACAAGATCCACAACCAATATGCACATTAACAGTAACAACGTGATACTTCATTATGGCCAAGTCAATGTATCTGCTTCTGTCACCAACTGTTCGTTTGATGGCAGTTTAGATGCTACGGTTAGACACATTTTTTTTAAATTTTTGCCCCTTGAATTTGCTGCCTTATATCAAACAATCTTTAAATTGCAAGCATACAGCAATGCAAAACAAAATATATAATATATATCATAAAATAAAACAAGAAAATGTACAAGCACTTACATACGGATAATGTGAACAATTAGCATAATATTTTATAATAATTGAACATTTTTTGTGCATTAATTAACCGTTTAAAATGTGTAGCTTTAAAATATAAAAATGCAAAAAAATAGAATATTTCAAAATATGCAAACGTTAAACTAATCCTATTCTCATATTCATTAATAGATGGTAGTGATGGAGAGAAACCTGTTTTCCTGGAACTCATCCACCTTTGGGCAAAATGTCACCACACCCATAGTTATATTTTCATTGGGGGATCAGCACACCGACAACTGCGGCTTAAAGCTAGATCTGTCGATGCCAATAGCACTTGGACTAACAGAGCAACCGAGGCGTCGACGCAGAGCCGTTTTGGAAGATGGATTTGTTGCTACACAGTTCACAAGTCATGGTGCAGATGGTCTAAAGATAAGAAACCTGACGATGGCGTACCATGCGTTTGACGTACCGGATGCTGCGGCTGTGGTTGTGATGCAGCTGTCGTGGTGGGATCACGCTGCAGCCTACAGGGTCTTCTTCCGTTACGATTCACCGCCGACTGAAGAGCTGTATGACGACATGAAAATGGTCATGGTGGAAGATGTTGTTCTGGCTTGGCACCGAGAAACAGACAGTTTGCGAACATGGATACCTGATATCAACCGACGCCGGGGGAAACTGTACGTTGGGATACAGACACCAGGTACCTACTCATAGTGGCGTATGTTGACCATTGCAGAACATGAATAAACACTTCTATATACAAGAATTTTAAACATTTAATATTGATTTCACCTCAGCTCTTTGCTGATGTTTACAGTTTTGATTACCTCTTTAACAACTTACACAACTGCTGTTCGTTTTCAGTTCTATTCTTAAAAATACTTGAAAATTTGAATGGGTACTAACGTACTAATACCATTAAATCGTTCAGGAATTCGAACTCGTCAGCAAACTGTCCCTTCATCTGAGGATTACGAACTGCGGGCATCAACAGTCAGTTGTTTAAGCTGGGATTATACGTCAGAGAAATGGGGAAACACCGACTGTGGGGTAGGCAAACTTCATACAGATATCAAAGAATTTGATAATGATGACGTGTGGTTAAAGTATATAGTAAATACATGCAATTTTAGTCTAGGTTTTTTCTTGCGTCAAATATAAGTCATGGAAAAGAAATTGTGGCGTGCATAGATACCGTTACAACAATGGTGAGGTATGCGGGTAAAAATCTGAAACAAAAATGAAACAAAAACTGTCAGCTCCAAATATTGTTAAAGAGCAGGCTTGCACTATATAAGAACCCAATAAATTCGGCTAACGTAAACTACCAGGCCCCATTCTGTCCCTGACTACCGTGGTGGTAACATGGGCACAGGGCTCTTGAAGACACTTTGTCAGTTTGTGTTTGTAACATATTGAAGACAGATAAGGAATTTATGTACATGTACAGTTTTTTTTACAGAAAGAAGATAGCCTCACCTTACCCAGAATATAGTAATTACACCACTGTACTGTTTTGCCAAGGTTTGGTGGTGTTATAGATTGGCCGGCAGTTACTTGAACAGTTCTAACAGAGAGCCAGTCTACATGTATACTAGTGCTGCTTTCTCATACTACCAAATTGACACCACAATTGCAACCCATATTTCTAGACTCACTTACTATCCAAGCTAATTCAGTTGTGAGGTTGCCATTTTAGATATCTATAATTAGAGGCTTTGATGAAATGTTGACAAGACAGTTTGAAAAATTGAAATTTGACCACAAAGTTGGTTTTCCAGAAACTGAAAGTTGCAGATAGTATTTTCTTGATTTATGTGACTCAGTTACAGCTATCCCGATCATTCTGCATGGTTTGATATTGTTAGTTTGAAAACCAGTATAGAAAAAACATTTGAATTTGTTCAAAAAGAGTGACAGTTATTATGCTAATCTGTCCCTGCCATTGTTTTCGGTGGCTGGACCGTCTAGGATGTTTATTAGTTTATGTGGTTATGGGGGTCAATTCACTATTCAAGCTGCTGGAGAAGTTACAGTGGGGAGTACTTCCTTATTGCGTCGCCCTGGGCACCGAATCCTCCAGTTTAAGTCTACAACCCCCCCATTACGGTTCGTGAATGAAGTAGACTTTCGGATCCATATATACTTACATAGATCAGAATAATAACTTGTTCTGAGTCTGATAACAATTTTGCCATCATTTAAGACCTACATGTACCCAAACCGGGATGTATCCAAACCGGAGGATACGAATCTAATAACTTGCACTTGATATAATGATGAATGACTAGTTAATACTATTTGATTAACTAAGTTTATCCTTATTTTGTCATTAGGTTCTCTTGGATCTTTCCAATAGTGCAATCAGATGTAATTGCAGCTTCCCCAGACCAAAGGCTGTGATTGGTGGCAGTGTACACTTTCCTCCAAATTCTATTGACTTTGACAGCGTCTTTGGAAACCCTGAGAGCCTGACCAGCAACATTGTGTTTTACGCGGTTATCGGCGAGTGGGCTGTCTACCTACTGTTGATGATTGTCCTAAATGTGGACTTTCAGCGTCTTCGAGTGAGTAGCTTATTCCATAGTAACAGTAAGGTCACGGTTGAAGGGTGCTCTGTCAGGTAGTTTGTGGGCATTTTTTATTTACTCTCAGGCGTGTCCCAGTGGGAGGTCCAGCCAAATTCCCAGAAGCTCAGAAGAATGCCGAGAAGCCCTTAGGTGTAACGCTAATGTTGGCTAGCTTTTTTTATCGATCCGGGGTCATAAAAACCGGGGACCTTCTGACTGACGACATTGCGACCTTAGCAATACGGATACTGTAAAATTTCTGCTTTCAAATTCGGCATTTTTTCTTTCTTTCCATATTTCCATATCTTACTCCATAGATGTTATTACACCAGGAAAAGATGGGACATGATTCAACAGCTGCAAACAGAAACGAACAGTTGGCACAATTGTCCATCCTTCCACCAGACAGGATGCCAGCCACATACCTATACCAGATCACCGTTAACACTGGTTCTATGTTTGTTGCTGGAACCTCGGCACGGATTGGGCTTCAAGTGTTCGGGTCAATGGGCAAGACGGCAGTCAAAACGTTGAATCCTAGGGGAGAGGTGAGTTTGATGTTTTATTCGCTTGTTTTTGTAATACGCATGCTGGCCGGTTGGTTTCCTGATATCCACAGCGCATATTTAAACGTTGTTACTTAATAATTGATTTTCTATCCTTAATAACATTAAACGTTGTTGCTAATGTTGTCTAAGATTATCCTCAATTGCCAGAGGGCAGTTTGGTTTTCTTCCTGAAAAATTCATACATTGGCATATCCCTATTTAATCTTATCATTTGTATTTCAGCCATTGATCCGGGGTGGGTCGTATGACTTTATCATGCCCATGAAAAATCCACTGGGGAATTTGCAACTACTACATATCTGGCACGACAACACTAGTGGTGGTGACGCTGCGTCTTGGTTCCTCAGAGACGTACTTGTAAAGGATCTGAAGACGGACATAGTGTAAGATCTGTAAATACCTTACTTTGCCTTTGGACGATAAACGGTTCTTCATCGTATACCCTAAACTGGTATGATGACAGTTGTGGCTGATTATGAATATTCGTTAATGTCAAAGCATGTGAGTCTTTTTTAACCACAATTGTGTTTCACAAATCTGAAGTTATTTTGACAGAACGAGTGTTTTATTGAGGGTCACCGATGCTAATTTCCCATTTATCGGTCGACGCTGATTTATTGCAATTTTTTAAATTTACATTCCACACAGTTTATGGGGTTTCCATTGCGATGTTAAGGATAAGGCGTCATAACAAATATTTCATTGGGACATTAAGAATTTTTAATTTACAGTTACCAGTTCGTTTGTTATGACTGGTTGTCCGACGTGAGAGGTGACTGCCAGGTTCAAAAGGTTCTACATGCGGCGACTCGAGAACAACTGCAATCTTTCAGTACACTGCTTCGCGAGAACACTAATGCATTGTTCTATGACCAACACATGTGGACGTCTGCTATAGTGACACCCAAAGGTATTAAACATAGAATTTTTGGTGATTATTTCAATGTCTTCCTACATTACCTAGATAATTGTGACAGAAAGTTACTGTATATTTAATAACAGACTTGGATAAAGATATAAAACAATATTATAGTAAATTATTAGAAAGATATCTTGATTTAGAATTTTTATCTGTTTCAAAGGGTCCAGCTTTTCCAAGTCAGAACGACTTTCTTGCTGCTGGGCTATTGTGAACAGTATGATGGTGGCCAGCGCCATGTGGTACAGGGATGACAACGTCAATTCCACCAGCGACAGCAGTTATAACCTAGGGTTTGTGACATTCACCTTACAAGTAAGAAAACACTAATCTCAATGAAACTATTTGCCTATTTAATTACATTAACTGAACTTCTGGGCCTACAATTTAATGGCATTGCTTTTCAAATGAAACGACAGGAGAGCTAAAAGCCTTACTATTAATATTTTATGAGCTTTGGTACGAGCGTAACTACTAGTTAATCTTAATATATGGTTGATTTTCTTTGTGAAACTCTTAGTTAAGAATTTGACATTCATATTGGGTCAATCACATACTTAACTAGCAGTTGAAATATTGATACTATAAGCCTACCCATGCAATATAGATGGCGATAAACCTAAAACCCTTCGGTAGTCACTTCCAGATTGCCAGCGTATACAACCCTGTCCCTAATCATTTACAAGTATTGAAAAACTTCGTTAACAGCCACAGTTACAGTATCATTGTTACAATTATTAATCTCAAGCTTCTCTAACTTTACAAAAGGAGTTGTACGTCATCCTGGTGACTACCGTTCTGGTTATCCCCGTTACCACAATACCGCTTCTGCTGTTCCGAAAGGAAATACCCGTTCCCGTTTTAGTTCCTGGAATAAAACGTAGTAACAAGCGAGGTATGCATTTGTAGTTTTTTTTTTAATTACTAGATACAATTTTAAACAAATTCTCAAAAATTCGACCAAAACCTTATCTGTTTTAATAAATTTTCAAACTTGACTGTTGCTAGTGTTGTAAACATGTTCAAAAAAATAAATAAATAAATATTAAAATTATCAACGAATGTATCTACATTCTTTGGTGATTACAACAGTTTGCTTCATTAGGTCCTAAAGACTAAAACAAAATATCATTTTTATGTGTGTTATGACTAACAACACAACTAATTTTTGGACAGGACATAGTCAATTATAGTAATAACTTCATCGCCACATAATGATAACTTTAACGTTTTTTCTATGAAAAGCTGGAAAACGCTTGTCCCGCTGGACGAAGTATGTGGCGTGGTTGATAGTGGTGTCTGTGTCCATCGTCTCCTCTTTCTTTGTCATCATGTATGGTTTAGACTGGGGCAAAGAGAAGAGCGAAGCATGGCTAAAGGCCTTCTGCTTCTCATTTTGCTTGTCAAGTGTTGTTGCAGAGACTGGTCAGGTAGTATTTATGTACTATATTTATGGCCTTTGTGATTTCTCGCTTTTTAATACTGATTTACCAGATACGTTAGCAAGAGAAGAACTCTTCATATTGTTCTCTCAACAGGTATTTATCCTGGCGTTAATAGCTGCTTTGATCTGTAACCCGACAACTTCCAAAAAGCAGAGGACATATGTTATCAAAAAAGAAGAACTACGTGTACACCTTTTAGGCCTGAAAGGTAACCTTATATTCTCAATATTTAAACAATTTAGATCCAGACAAACGCAAGCACTTTTGTAATCTTTTGTTATCAGATTTTATGTCATAAGTTATTTAGATCACCCAATACAAAATACCGTCATTTTACACACCGAATACTTTCTTGATTAAACCTTGGAAGAAACTATCAGCCGTTAGTATCCTCTTTCTTTTTTTTAATATTTCTGTCATCGAAATTTTATTAACAGTGTATGTAACAAGGCGGGTACAAAGTTTTTTAAAAAATATTTTTGGGATAACCTTCGATTGTAAACTTCAATTTTAACTATTTTTTTAATGCCTGTGACAGAAAAATGATGATAAAAAGGGACATGGAAGATATCTGAATTATATGTTTGTGTGTGGGTGTATTTTTGTATGTGCATGTATGTATGTGTTTACATTATGTATATATTTTTTAGCTTCAAGAAAGGTATACCCACCTGGAGCAGCCTCCGTACAAAGAATGAAGAGAAAGAACGAGCAGCGACAAAAGTTCCTCATGCTGCTGAGAGAGTACAGCCTGCTGTTCCTGTTCGTCGTTGTTCTGTTCTTCATCAGTCAGCAGGATAAAGACCCGCTCGCTTTCCACGCGTCACAGACTCTGTCCAGCAGGCTCACAGAAGATTTCGATTCGGTAGGGATGATAAAATATCAGCAGGATCATAATAAGCTTATAAAAGTATTCTGTCATAATATAAGTAATTATTGTTTTCGTTTGTGGAGTCATCAATAATTCGTTGTCAATTCCCAAAACATTTCAGTTATGTTAAATGACTTATTGACATAATACATTTCCAAAGCAATGAACAAAGCACAAAGTATTAGCAACTACTGCTTAATAATCAACGTAGTACAAACGTGAGTAGTATGGGATGAAAATTAAATATGGGATTCAACAATCATTGGAGGATTTCCAATGTTTAGACATTCTTCAGTATATATATTTTTATTAATGCCATGCAGCAGTTGTGCCATTTTTAGACCTATCTGTTCATTTTACACAGACTACAACTCCCGATGATTTCTGGACGTGGATTGAGGAAGTCATGTTGCCTGTGTTGTACCCCTCGCTCTGGTATAACGGGTGGAAGATGAAGTATCTAGACCGTCAGTTTCCTCTTTATACTGAAGCCTTCAGAATCGGGCCGCCACGTCTTACTCAGACAAGGAAGGCACCGGCTTCAGGTTTGCAGTACTACTTACATGTGGTAGTATCATCTGTTTTTGATTGGGTTGTTAGGTATCTCATTATTATGCCTATTCACTTAACAAGATGATGATGAATTTCAACAGTATTCACAAAAGTTATAATATGTTAATGTGTGCACACTTTTCCTCTTACATATGTTTTCATCTAACTAGATACAAATACATGTATGTCGATTCGGAAGTTCCTAGTCCATGCGTTTTACCTGGACTACCAGCTAACAGTCTTATTAACTTTCGCTTAAACCATCGCTGTGCTTTCCCTCTTTTTCCTGTTGATAGAGAAGAAACGTCACAAGTGTTAATTATTTAAAGTATGTTTTCTACCTTATACAGATACTGCGGAAGTAGACAGTTTTCCAACTGGTTGGATGGTTAATATTGGAAATGCTTCCTATGCATGTTGGCAGTTTAATGCCACACAAATGGTTACATACAACCAAGAGTGTAACTCGAAATACATCATGAATCTTCCAACCTCCCAAACTGAGGCTGCACACACATTGCATAATTTTCAGCGCAACCATTGGATAGACAAATACACAAAGCGTCTGGATCTGGAACTGTCTTTCTACTATCCCTCTCGTAAACTGTTTAGCATCTTGAAAATGACGGTGATTCAGGAGGATATCGGTCATCTTTCAACATTTACAGTTGTAGGAACACAAAGACTATTCCAGTACGAAAACACATCTGATTACGGCATGATGGCAGCCCACATTCTCTTCATATTGCTGTTTCTGATTGGTTTAATCAAAGAAGCCCTTGCTGTCAAGAAGTATGGGATGACGTTTTTTGGTTCAATCTGGAATCTGATGACATCGCTAAGCATACTGGTATCTGCAATTGTAATATGTTCCTTTGGAATAAGGTACCAGTTCGCATCTGAAGCTCTGGACAAGATAGTGGAGGCGACAGGTTTGTATACGGTTGATATATCGAACCCCAGAATTTGCTTTGGCCATATAAGCAATACAGGTGGTTGACTGAAATGTTAGATGGTGAACCATGTTATAAGCTCAGGTATAACTACGTTACTGTCCCTCATATTACGCCATTACCTTATATTGTTTTTACAAATAAATTGACGTTGTTGCTTTTGTCATTGACGATAGAAGTCTTAGTCTGATCATACAGCCTTGAGGTTGATGGGAATGCAATATTTAGACGGATTTACCCAATAAAATCACATACATGACACCTTGATGATTAGACGTTTCGTCATAAGGACAGAAAATCTGTTTATCATTTCTTTTAATTGAGGTGGTCCTTTGATATGTATGTAAGGATGTGTATGTTTAATCTTTGTATTGTTTGGCGCCCGAAATCTGCTATGCTGACTGGGTGGCCAGTGTATTGTATCGTCACAATCGAATTAAAATTAAAATAAAAAAATGTAAGGATATTCAGTAACGGTTTTCTAAATAAAGCAGCAGTTGGAGAAATAAGAACATAACACTTAGCTGCAGTTTGCAAAAATCGTGCAAAATAGACGTAATTTTAATGCAACGTTGACAAATCCATCCGCAGCATTAGTTGCGTAACGACACGCTATTTACACAGAAGAATATTGTTGGAAATTCTTATGTGGTATATATGAACGCCTGGTTCCTGTTTTAAGTTTATGGTGCTAATGAGTTTAATATAATATTTAGCTTTACCAGAGCATGTATTAAAGTCAGAGTCACAGTTCCAACTGGTGTGTGGTAAACATTTATCTCATCCCACTCTACACCTTTAGGTGAACTTGGAATGGATACGTTTGTCGACTTGGGACCATCGTTTTGGTGGGATGACGCCTTCAAGTACGTGCTCGCCGCCGTGGTGTTTGTTAACACATTGGCGCTACTCCGCGTGGTCAAGTTTAACAAGACCATCGCACATTTCCTGGCTCTACCGGGCGCCATGAAGAATGACCTGATGGGGTTTTCACTTGTGAGCGCCATAGCTTTTATGGCCTTCAGCTCTTCAGGTATTTCGGTTCCTTCAACGTATGAGTTCAAATTCAATTACTCTATTTCTTAAAGCACGAGACACAATGTATGCGAGTGTGTGTTTGTTTGTTTGTTTGTATTAGTGTTTCTTACAATATATGCAGTCTGTGCCTTATAACGCTGTTAATGTGCATGTAACGATTTTTTTTCCAACACAGGGATGGTTGTATTTGGGACACACAAGAAGGCCTTCACTTATTTCATCCACACCAATTTCGCGCTGTTCGAGATGACGCTTGGCAGGTGCGTAATTATCTAGTATCTATTTTTAAAATGGTATACTATCAATATCTAAGTCTTTAACTTGTATGTTGCAAAGATAAGTTTTGTTATTTATAAAATTAATCTGTTGGACACCATAGTCGTATTAACAATTTAAACCAAATTGAGAGTTTTGGCAGGAACGTTAAAGAAGGCAAGAGCGCTTAGGCACATTGTCGTTAACTTACCTATGGAGATGGGAAAGAAATAAAAAAAAAACAATTTTTGAAATATGACTAATTTAAAGACATTGTTCACTTTCTTACGGTGTCTTTGTGAACTTTGATTTAATACAGTGCTCGACAAGACCTTTAATTACGCCTTACGTAAAGGTACAGTAAATGTAACACTTAGACACAAAGAACAAGTTTACTGTTAAAATGCAGTATGATTTAGGAGTATGCCTAAAGCATGCTTAAAGCGTGATTAAAGATTGCCTTTCATTTTGAAAGCCAACAATTTAATCAAATAAATTGATGGCATGGAACTGTTATTTCTTCCAGTTTTGACACAGAAGAGATATTGGCAGCAAACCGATATGTCGGGCCGGTCTACTTTACTTTCTTCATGATTTGTATCTTCATAATTCTCGTTAACTTCCTCGTGACCATCATCTGTGATGCCATTGCTTCTGGTGACTCCATTGACGACGACTATGACCAGGATCTGGTAGACTACATCTGGACAAGCTTCAAGGAGATGTTGGGGATCCATTCTTCACCGACAAATGATGTAACAGCAGGTAAATTAGCCTATCGGTATCTTTAAAAACGCTAAAAAATGTAGCAATGACTTGACATTGTCTATAAATAAATATTTTTTGTCATTTCTATGTTACGTTTAACTCAATTTACATTCAGCCATTGTTTTGTATCCCGTAGGTGAAGTGAAACTCACCGAGCTGAAAGCAAACTTGCGAACTATAGAGGACTCTTTAGGCGACATCTTAGATGTCACAGAGTGTTTGTGGCCAAAGATCACAAGTGAAGTGACCTCCTCACACCATCAAACTGTCACACCACGACATCACTCTACTACGATGCGTTCAGACACATGTCAGATGATTCACGAGGAAACTACATCTCCGACTACACCGGCTGTATCTGATGTTCAAGAACAGGCCCGGTGCCTCCTCAAAGCACATGAAGACGATACGGCTAGGATTGAGGAGGTGCATAACGAAGGCAGACGGCGTGCTGAAGCGATCCTCAAGACAAAACTAGCAGACAGAAGGATGATGTCACGGCTAGATCAGACCGCCATGGACACTGCTCAGGAGTTGATGGAGCAGCACACAGCTGATGTTGCACGGATGGAGGAGCGGCAGAAGGGCGCAAGGCGCATGTTCGAGAACAAACTGAGACAGAAGTTGGCAGCTCGCCGCGTGCAAAAGAAGGACAACGCGATTTAATAACCATTTGTACAGGCTATGTGTACATAGTTATTAGTAGGCCAGTGGCATATTTTACACATAAAGGGTGAATTGATCCTTTTTTTGTTGTTGCGATCTTTTTCGCTGATATTGAAGTACATATTTCACATGTGATTTTTTTTTCTGGTGTTAGGAAAGATATTGCTTGCTGCTTTATTCATAATATTTCCTTTGCATGATAAATTATATATGCATATTTTAGAAACGTTATATATAGCATGCCTACAAATATGTCAAAACGTGTGTAAACTTTAGTGTTAAAAGTTATTATAAAACTTGATTTTCTCAATCTTAACAGTAAATCATCTGTAGGGTGTTTTCGTAACGTGACCATAATGTAAGAATTGTCCGTCATGTTTTGTGGATTGAGTGAGAAGTTGCAAGATTAATACAATCATTCATACAAAATTTGCACATCGTTAGGAAGCAGTAAATTACAAGTATCAGTTAGCCTAGTGAAAGGACAGTTTTTGAAAATATAATATCATAAATAATATATTTAGCCTTAATGTTTTGAATATTGGTGTGTATCCTAAAGGGTGGTATAAAGATAACAAAACTATAGTTAAGAGCATAGTGTGCGTTCTAAATGTACGAGATATTTACCTTCGCCAAGAAGGTTATGTTTTCAGGGGCGTTCGTGTATGTGTGTATGTGTGTGTCTGTCTGTCAACACGATAACTAGAGAAGGTCTTGATGGATTGTCTTGATACTTGGTAGGTGGGTAGGTCTTGATGAGACCTCAAAATGATTAGATTTTGGGCCACCTGGCGGCTTGTCATGGTACTGCAGCTGAACTTCCGGTTTTGATATCTCATGATCCAGACATGCTAGGGTGACGAAATTTAGATGGTAGATAGCTCTTGTGCTGGGGATAAAGTGACATGAGTTTGAGCCCCCTAGTTGCTTGCTCTAGAACTGCAGGGGGGTTTAATGGACAAATGTTTAAAGGGGGATAACTCAAGAACTGATGGATGGATCATCATGATTTTTGGTATGTAGGTAGCTTGAGTGATGCTTGACATAATGATATTACAATTATGCAAATATAGATGTAATTTGCATAATTAATGAGGAAATTTTATTTATCAGCTGCATTCCATAATAGGAAGTTCAAGCTTGTGACATATGTTATTAAGAATGAGAGAAACACAGGCAGATATCAATTATGCAAATGAAGACTTAATTTGCATAATTAATGAGAAAATATTAAAATTGCATAGTGGTATCTGCCTGGAATTTTATACTTGGGGTGTTTGAAAGTTAAGTTAAGGTGAACATAATTAAACATAACTTATTCAAATAAGGACCTCATTTGCATAATTTATGAGAAAATTTCATCATGGCATTCTTTGTTAAGATAAGACTCTTTTGGTGGAGAATATGATCAACAGATATAATTCATGCAATTGAGGATCCTATTTGCATAATTAGGGGGATTAAGATATAATTTCTTAATCATAAAAGCTAACATCATTTGGCGAAGGTATGAGATCGTGGAACTCTAGTTACATTTGCAGAGTTGGTGCCTCGATGTAAATTAATGTATGTCAAGTTAGGACAGGCTTGGAGATTTTGGAATAGTCACACTGGTCACATTTGTAGGGTTTTTCACCGGCTTTTCACCAGTGTATGTTCTCATATGAGTGTGACCTGTCAGCTGCTTTGTATCCACACTTCTTACAGTTGTGGGGTTTCTCATCAGCGTGTTTGAATAAATGTTTGCTACAATTACATTTCAGTGCTGTAGAATAGTCACACTGCTCACACTTGTAGGGTCTTTCACCGGTATGGGTCCCCATATGCCGGTTTAAGTGTGATGTGTTCGCTGTCTTGTGGCAACACTCCCTACACGTCATGTCTAGGGTTTTGCAATAGTGCGTATTGCCTTAGGCCATGTTGATTTGATTACATGGATGACATCCTATGGGAACCCCAAAACTGATGCGAGCGTGCGAATGAAAAAAAGGGTTAGAAAAACGTTACTTTTATTATGCATTTATTCTACGTGGTCCTGAAGGTTGAACAAATGACACATAGTATGGTATGGCGAAAAATCTACTTTTAAAATTCATTTCTTTACATTTTCGTCTTTTTCGTTTAATTTTAGGCATTTTACGAGGTTGGTATCGTTTTCCAATCTTTTTTGATTGTACAAAAGGCGAAATACATGTTTTGTCCTACCCCCCTCCCCATTCAAATTAAACCTTACATTTCGAAAATGGCTATAAGCTATCGTCCTACTGAGAGTTTTCTTTTATAAAATTAGCCCAAACTATTGCCTAAGACATTAGAATTCCTGCTTAAGTTTGCTCGTCTATAAGTCTAACCTGCTTGCTATGGTGGCCGCTTGCTATGGTGGTTTTTGTCCTCATGTAAACACGGATTCCGTACCTTTGTCTTCTGTCAATCTGTGGAATTGCGAGGTCAGAGGTGAAGGCAATGTGGGTTAAAGGTCAGATTTAACGCCTGATTGATCTATTTCATTTCGGTCATAGTATAGTATCATGCCGAAAAGTCTCCCTATAGTGTCACTAATAGATTGCCCTGCCATCCAAAAGGTATGATCAGAGAGAGTAGGTATTTATAGTTTTAATACATGTTTCCCCACTTCATACATTTGGGGAATACAATTTTATATTTGCAATGAACTTACATTATGAAATATACCTGTTGGTACCGTTAACCATTACTAAGAAACGTGAAAAAGCCATAGTTACTTAATAGCAGTTACTGAGCATTGTATATATTATACGTAACGTTATTTGTTTTATAGAGACCTGCACTTAACCCAGTGGATATGTGTGTACAATAAAGGTCTTTATTAATCGATAATGCACATCAATATCAGTCCTGCCAACAAACAGCATAATTTTATGTTATCTTGTCGATAAGTACCAGCTCTATTCCGTCTGTTACTCTCTGAATGTTACGTTATTCACATTTTTTTAATTAAAATAACAATGATGTTGTAACTATGCTTAGTAAATGTGGGGACGTACTGATCTGATCGAAATACCCAATGTGGGTACTCCATTGGTTTGAACAGTGTGATCATCATTATTATCAACAAACATCATCACAATCTATAAGCACGAGATCTTGCTGTCGAGCTGAAGAAATATGCACATACACACAAACACGCATTGACAGACCAAGCAATACCTCCATATTTATGGAGGCAACAAGGCACTGGCGTCGTTCCGAAAAGGATTGATATTCTTATCAGCTATATAATCTAGTTTCTAATCATTAAGATGTTATTCAAACCCAGTTTCAGCAAATGTGTGGCAAACGGCTCCTTTTCGCCCAACACGCCACGAGATGTCATTCCGTTTGGGCGCATTACTTTCCGAAAGGGTCAAAACAGTCATGCTAAGAGCTTCATTTTGCATATATGTAAGTTCCGAGGATGCCGACTAAAATCCCTACGGTGAATCCAACAGCAGCTCCAATGCCACCACCTAATAAAACAAACAAGGCATAGACATTAAATGTCATAACGTGAGGTCATGACTCCTAGTTTTAACGCATTGATTGTGTGAATAATAGAAATAGAGGTTTAAATACGTTAAAAGAAGTGTTGGCATAAAGCATGGTATTCACTGAAGAGTTACGTTAGCAAATTTAGTCAGCTAAGACAGGCTGTATGGGATGTCGTGACGACATGACAAGGATAAAGGACGGCATTCAGCGCCATAGAGTTGGCGGGCGTTCTGGAAGTTGTCACCGATTTTTCTCGTCACGTAACGTAATCCTGAGATCACGCGATCAATATATGTATATATAGTCAGAGAGGACGAAAGAGAGAGGGGGGGGGGTTACGCAGAAAACAGGAAAAACTCAAAATAAAGTTTCACTGAGTAGTTCTTATGAGCACAAATGATTTCATTGAGAAGCACGAAGGACTTTTTACACGGGGGCAACCATAATGAATTTGCATTGTTATGTAAGGAAATGTGCATCATAATGTTATCTTTTATTATGTAGATGATATTGATATGCTTTCTGTCTGTAAAAAGGCAACACAATTAGGTTGTGTGTAAAGAGATTCAACGCCTGCAGAGTTGATTTGAAATACAGATTTGATTTGATACACCCACAACACAAGCCCAAGGGCCAAGGATGGACAACATACAACTATATTGAGCACATCAATAACACATAAAGAAATCTAGCTGTATCAATTTTGTCAAGCTCCAAGCCCCTTAAAAACTGCCCAGTCGGCAATAAGTTGTTCTTAATAAACAGATAAATCATCAAAAAAGAGGTGCACGTTCCTACCTTCCAGGGCTGATAATTGGTGGATCCAGGAGTTGCTGTAACCTTTCTTCGCTTTCTCAAACTCTTCTGAGGACCAGTCGAACTCCCCACAGGTAGGGAATCCCGGGGGTGGGGGGTTCATCTGTCCCTCCGTCCCCTCCCTGATCATCATGGCCATCCCCTCCACCTGGTGGATCTCGATGTGACAGTGCACGAACCACCAGCCTGCAACACGACAAGGGGCAAATGCGCGAATCATGTCGGCAACTAGGATTTATATTGGGGAGAGGGGGTCTTTCTACTGTTAAAGGGACCAGCGAGGACCGTTCCTACTGGGGGTCCGGGGGCATGCTCCTAGGGAATTTTTTGAAAATTGAACCTTCTAAAATGTCATTTCCTGCGTTTTTTTTTTTTTGGGGGGGGGGGAGGGGGCGAATATTTTAAAGGTAAAATCAGAGATTTTTTTAAAAAACTGACAAGCAGTTTATTTAGGATTCCAGGCCGGCTGTTGATTAAATTTACTTCACCTTTAAATGTGGGTCTCTTTGCTCCTTTTTTTAAACATTGTGTTGCGAAATTCATTTTCTACCCACCTGGGTTATCAGCTGTAAACCTGATAACCACGTACCCTCCCACCGGCACGATCACCGTGTCCTTCAGGGGCGGGTCCAGCAGGTTCAGTCCCGGCTTGTTCCCGCCCTCCCACGCCGGGTCAGCCCATCTCTTCCCGTTACACCTGTCCGACGTGCCGCAGTCGATATCCGGGTTCTGGCTAACGTAGCCGCCGTTACTGTTGTACTGCGGGAAGCCCATGTCTAACACGTGGAAGTGATGACCATGTATGTGGACGGGGTGGGCTGTACCGGCTAGACCTGCGCCTGGAAATAAAGAACCAGCGTAGCGCGGAGACATTGCAACTGTACATAGTCAAAAGTACATCGGTAACCAACAGTAAATAAACAACTGTTACTTGACAATCTTAACCGCATATCTTACGGTTGTTGAACAATCTGGCCATGTATGTTACAATTAGGATACATTTGAGACCGCATTGTAAGCAGTAACACCTAGCTTCAGGGAACCAGTTATAATTTTTTTCTCATGAACATACAGACAATCATCAAAACATCGGTTCGTATTAAACAAAAGTCTATCAATAAATACCTAACATGCACATATAAAAGCCAGAAATTAATCACCATTTGCTTACAGGTAAGGTGTTACTTTCTGTCTGAAACATTTATTGTTAGAATCCTAGATATTATGATGCGTTGTTCCTGTCGGTCACGATTTGCAGTAGAGCAAATGTTTTTAAATGGTAGAGCCAAGCTTTAAGCATAGTGAAAAAAGAACTTCACGCAGCTTTCATTAAGGAAAATGGCTTATACACTTTTTTTCTATCCCCTGAACCCTCGTCCTGCTGGACGTTTGTACACAAAATTTTCAATAAATTTGAAGTCTTAATCAGGGCACAGACCCTTGAATTTCTTTGCCCTGTGGTGGTATAGTTACTTCCGCATTCGTTGCGTTTCGTTGCCGTGTGATGCGTTGCACGAGAAGTACCCCCAAATCGTACATATACAGGGCACTATAAAAATTGTACTGTATGTGCAACCCATATATATAAAGGCAAGGGTTTTTAAAACTTGTGAGGCAAAAACCGGGCTTACCGGAGCCCATGTTATAGAGAACCATCTGCACGACGTTGCCAGGGGTGATAGTCACGTGATAGCTGCAGTCACAGTACTTCTCCCCGCCGCAAAGCTCGTCGGTACATGCCATGAGACCTTCGTCACCTGTGACCTGAACGGAGAGGGGGGGCGTGAAAACACTTTGCTTGGGACTTAAAAAGTGGCCTTTTTGTCAACTTAAGCTCACAATTGCAGTTTGGCACAATACCTCCAGGATGAATAAGACATTTGAGGTTCTACTTTACTTTTGTAAATCAGTATAGCTAATCGCAAAATGTTAAATCTTCTTTTCGCACAAGAGCATGGAGACCACATCAAAATAAACTGACACCTTCGAATTTGGACCGAGAGAAAATTTGTGTTACTATGTAACTAGACTAGATAGTCCTGATTACCTTTTTCTTATATAGATAAATGGAATTTGTGACCTTCTTTGTAGAGAGGATTTTCGCACTGTACTTTCCGTTAACAGAGAACATGTGACGAATAATATATATAATAAAAATGTTACGTACATACATAGCATTCCTTACTTACCTGTGGCGGTGTGGACGGCGGGACAAACCGATGGCCGTTGACAGATGACCTCTGACCCGTATTATTATCCGACCCTGCAAAGTGGAAGTTGATGAAATGTTCCTCCCACCTGTCCGCAGACTCCGGCATGGGGACGGAATCGTTACCGGGAGACCGGAGCTCGTGCACCGGCAGGCACTCCAGGTACATGGACGGATCCCCGTACTGTCTGTTAATGTAATGATTATGTCATTAGCACATCAAGTAAACTTCAAGGCTAGTCCAAATAACCTTATACCATACATTTTGGACTAATGAAAGCGTAACATTCATACATTATTCACACACAAAAATAAATCATTTGCTCCAAATGGTAAAGCAAATTGTGCAGGGGTAAACAGGAACCTTTAAGGCTTATCGTATGATTTCCTTTTGGTTCACAAATATCATCATAAGGCACAAATATTTCATAGATAGTAAGTGAATGAGATCAAAACAAAAGAGAAGGATACCATGCATGAGAAAATATGGAAATTCAACTAATTAGACAAATCAAATCACAATTAATATACATATCAACCATAACCAATGGATCAATCAACTTACTACCACATTTCTTATCAAATTTATAAGATGTAAAAGAAAACAGACTTTGCAAAACTAATAAGTTATTAGGCATATTGACACACTATGAAGATAAATACCAAATGGTTTGATGATAAGTGTACATAGACATATATGTTTGTGTTTGTGATTGTACCTGAATGGACAGTTGACGATGGTACAGGTGTCATGTTCTGCGCAGGTTTTACGCTGGGAGGTCGGCTCTGCGTCTGGTGCGTCTTCATAGTGTAGTATAGCCTCGGTATGGTGCTGTCTGCTCACCGGCTGGGAAAAAAACGGTTCAACCATTTTGTGAGCTACCAGTAGATGTGTAAATCTGTAGTTTTGAAAGAGTTTTTACCGACATAAACAAAGTGCCAGCAGAGAGCCTATATCCACTAAGAAAAAAACGATCTAGCCTTATCTCTAATCCACGCCAGTTACCTTACTTTCCTCTGCAGCTGGGAACTGTTGGTGTTATTATATATGATTATGAAACAAAGGCGAGAAGTGCAGTTTCCGGGCCCGGGTCGCCAGCTAGCGAAGGTAACGCCATAGCTTCTAATTAAAATCCGAAAAGTTCAGGACCCGGACGTAACGGCTAGGCCAAAAGGTCCAGGTCCAGTAAGACAAGTCAGTTGGTGGCGCTCACTGTTACAATTATGCATGTTAGTTACAATTATGCATGTTACGATCAATTCTAGTTGCCGGGAACCAGTTATAATAAATCCGCAAGCCTGTATTTGCCAAGAGAAATGGGAGCTTTTTTTTTTTAATTGTAATCCTAGCATTATTAGTTTATCGTTAATTTTATCCGGTAGTTAAGACAGAAGTTTAGTCCATGACTTACGTTACCGTCCTCATACAGTTCGATGGTGTCAGCACGGATCCAGTAGTTCCCGGCAGGCTGGTTGGTTGTGATGTAAAAATCATAGCGCTCGCCTGTGTTAATAATGAACGACTCTGCTGTCTGTTCACGGATCCTGAAATTGATGATAAAGCCATTGTTACACATAGCTGGATGCCCTCCCGAACAATACCTAACACCTCTCAACTATGGTTAAGAGAAGGTCGGGAGCAAGTAATTTTTGGATTTTTTGTCATTTGCGGGTGATTATTGGGTTGTTTAATGTATGGATTGGGATAAATAAATACCCGATTTTGACTTTATTTGTGACATTACGGCGACATAAGGAATGTGGAATAGAGCCTTCTGATTGGTCAACGTCACCCGGCTATATGATAATTGCTTATAAAACATAAAGACCTTAATCATAAAGTTTGGGTAACAAATACAAAACGTGCAGTGGACCAGTACATCATATAACGTTAATGTATATATACATGTAATTAATCAAATCCTCCAAATAGTGAAATTAAGTTTGACACAATATATAATATCGAAGATGCGGTAATAAGTAGAGTTTCGGAGGGAGGGGCTAGAACTGGTATGGAGTAAATTGCACTATGTGGTGTTATTTGAGTTGAGTGGGGAAAAGAGAAGTGTGCTTTTAAATGTAAGTAGGATATGGACTCCATTTTACCCACCTGTCTCCGTCCGTGGCGATCAACGTCAGGTCATGCTGGTCCACTGACACCCGGAAGGGGAAGACCATGGCGGCGCTGATGACCCGGAAGCGATATGTCATGTTCCCCTCTACACTGAACTTCTCCAAAGGTATAAATCGATTCTCCGCATTGTCGTTGTTGTCATAGCTACGACCTTACAACCCGAATAAAAACAAAAACATGGTTGTTTTGATGCAGGACTAATCAAATACTTGCACGTTTAACTTTACCTTGTGCCTTCATATTGCTTTTCAATTGGGGCTTTTACCGCTACTGAGATGTATTAAACGGAAATACTGCTTAATGATTTTAAGATATTCAAGTCCCATTTACAAATATGACTCAGCATGTTTAAATATATGAAGTGCAGTGAAAGGTTAGATGCAACCAGGCTTCTAACCATCAAAATATTTACGCTACACTTGCAAGAATGCCACCCAATAAGTTTTTGTTAGGGCGATTTTCAGTTTCTAGTACGTGGCATAGTTCTGATGAATTTCAGTCTTAGGTCGAATTTTAGGCTTCTGGCTATTTGTTTAAAAGAAGTTAAAACTTTGATCTTAAACCTACAATGCCTAATAACAGGTGGTAATATAGTCTTTTGGTTAGGGTTGTTGAATTAAGAGTCTGAACGTTTTGTAGACGCAGCTTTTACTTACAATAAGCCAACTGGTTTGTCCTGTCCTTTATGATACTAAGATCACAAATTTTGGTCAATGCTAGGCTTGCCCTGGCAGTTTCAAAGGAAAATGATATAAGATATAAGTATGATATAAGACATAAATATGATGTAAGAGATGACAAAAATTCATTATCAGTAAGCTTTGTTTTCCTAGTATGAATTGCTAATTTTTTGTTCAAGCAAATCGCATGGCCAGGTCAAGGCTAGGCTCGAGAAATGAGACCAAGGCCTAAAGGCGATTATCTGCAGCTGGTTATATCAAACAAACAACTGAAAATGCGAAAACGGCTAACTACCTTTTCCGTTGATAAGGCCTGAGGTGAAATGGACCGGTCCCAGGTCCGTGCCATCAGCCTGTGTCAGTCTCGTCCTGCATGTATCAGTATCTCCGTACCCGTGGGAAAACCTACAGATTCAGAGGAAAACGGTACAGAATGATGGTGTTGAAAGTTTCGCAAGAGATACTGTCAACGTTTACCCTATCCAACCGTCTAAGAACTGTGCTAATGCTGGGAATACTTTTTTGTGTTGAATGATAATGCTCTTGCGGAAATAGATTTTTTGAAGACATGTAGTGGATGGAAATGGACACGCCAGGTCAAGAAGACGACTCGCTTAGATTGTTGTGTCATTTTGTCTTTCCTGCGTTGTATTTAAAAATCTTCACATTTAATGGACCAAAGGAACAATTTGATAATAAAAACATCTGTAAATTCAGTTACTGTACCTCCAGTTTTACTTCTCTGAAAAGGCTTTTGATGCCTCATATGGCAGCTAATGTTGTCTCGTTGTGTTTTTGTTTACCTGGTTGCCTCCCATTCCACTCGCAGGTACGTCTCCAGTGAGTCCTCCCTCTGCCAGTCATGCACGAGCAGCACAAACTCCTTATGGAAGACCGGCAGTGGTGGCTGGAGGTGACGGTAGAAAGTGTTGTCATCAACACATTTTCAGGCAAGGAAATGCTTCGATCATGACAGAGAGCTTTTCTAAAGGTGAAATAAAACAAAAAGTCTGCAACAGCAAAGTTCGTTGGGCAACAAGACAACTCACTCTGGCTATTACATACAGGGGCAAAATGTACAAGTAAGGTGTCTTGGTCATATTGTAAGGATGCCTTCAATAAACTGGATACCACAAGGGAAAAGATTTGAAGATTTGAAGATGGATCTCTCTTGAAAAGTAGCACGAAGGCAAGTGCTGGGCAGAAGAGAGTGGAAAGCAGTGGTGGCCTGCATCGTCAATAGATGAGAGAGGTGACTATAATGATGAAGATAAAGAAATGTAAAGGATATTGGCTTTAAATTTGTGATTTGAGAGGGGTTTGTCTCTACTAAATAAAGAATGACAATGTGTATTGTTATCTGTAAATAAGCCGAATTTTAAATCATGATGTACATCGGAATGATATGGAGTAACTTATCCAATATATTCCCATTGTGCCTTAGAAGTCGTCCTATTTTATGCACGCAATCTTTGGACTTAGATTATCAAAACCATAATACAAGTAAAATGTATCCTCACCACCGCTGTGTCGTTCTCCAGTACAATAAGCGCCCCGTACAGTCCGTCTGTCCGGAAGGTTCCCAGGTGGGCGTGCCACCAGTGAGTCCCGCCTTCTGACGCAGTGAACCTGGGGTGGAAGTGTAAAACCAGGGTTCAAAATGCCCACTCTCACTCTCTCGCCGAGCAAGTCATGTTTTTTTTTCTGCGAGACTAGTCTCTAATTAATGCCTAAACCGCAGAGTGAGCGCAGCGCACGTCTTCTGACTATGTGATTTTTGCTAAATATTGTTTACGCTCCTGTAGGTGAAGTTCTACCCAGGGTTGATCTTAACTCCTGGTTAATATTAAGCTTGCACCTCTATGTAGAAAAAAAATCTAAAAATAAGTGAAACTCTCCACCGGGTTTACCACACACCTGTAAGTGAAACTCTCCCCCTGGTTGATATTAACTACTGATTAATAACCACACTCCTGTAGGTTAAACTCTCCCCCGGGTTGATGATAACTACTGGTTAATAACCACGCACCTGTAAGTGAAACTCTCCCCCGTGTTGATATATACTACTGGTTAATAACTACACACCTGTAAGTGTAACTCTCCCCCAGGTTGATAATAACTACTGGTTAACCACACAGCTGTAATTAAAACTCTCCCCGGGTTGATATTAACTACTGGTTAATAACCACACACCTGTAAGTAAAACTCTCCCCCTGGGTTGATATTAACTACTGGTTAATAACCACACACCTGTAAGTGAAACTCTCCCCCGGGTTGATATTAACTACTGGTTAACCACACACCTGTAAGTGAAACTCTCCCCCGGGTTGATATTAACTACTGGTTAATAACCACACACCTGTAAGTGAAGCTCTCCCCCGGGTTGATATTAACTACTGGTTAACCACACACCTGTAAGTGAAGCTCTCCCCCGGGTTGATAGGACACTGTGACACGCCGCCCACCCCGTCCATCCACGGCGTGTTGTGCTGGGTGATGCCGTGCCAGTGGATTGCCACGCCTTCCTGTATTAGCTTGTTTCTCACGCGAACAGCAACCTGGGTAGAAATAAGCGATACCCATATGTAAGGGCTATGTGATTCTTCTAGCCCAAAGGATAAAAGAAGAATTCTAAGACCCCACGTAATATTTAGATTTTTTGTAAATAATTGTTAACTATTTTGAATATTCAATGTCAAAGAAACATAATGTTTCCTCCCGTAAAAATTACTAGCATCAGAAACATCAGGTGTTTTTCGCTCAACTATATCACTACTAAAAAAAACACTACTTGTGCCCCCTTCCACACGACAATGGTAGGTCCCGGCAGCTGTTTGTTGACCAGTGTTGTCCTGCGGTGAAAACCGTCCGCTGTCGTCACCTGGGTAATCTCTGGGTGGAAGAGGGAGAAAAATTATTCACAGAGATTTATATATTGAACATACATACATACATACTTTAAGTCGAATATTTTTAGCACTTTTGCTACGTAGTCGAAGAGAGAACCGAAGGTACGTTAAATCAGACCAAACTCTTTAGAGCGAAACTGAACCAAGAGGTCACCAGTTTAAATTTCGCTATGCCACTGGTGTTGTGTTCTTGAGAATGGAACTTTACACAAGTTTTCTCACTTATGTGAAAATGTATATATCTGTCGTTCATGAATGCGTTTGACTGCGTTGGTGGCGCAAGAACTTTAGTGTACCATCGCCATGTATTGTAATGAATTTTGGGATAGAACAAAAATAAACAAATTCTGTTATATTTTCAATATCATATGCTTTCCTCTTTGGTTTTAACCCTACCTAGACCGGGGGGGGGGGGCTAAAAGTGCCCGCGGCAACTTTGATGTCACCTAGCGTCTGAACGGCTAGCCGTAGAACGACCAAACTTGGTGACTTTTCCTAAAATATTGTTGGCAACAATTCTCTATCATTGGAATAAGATAATAATTTTTTGTGTTGCCATGGCAATGGGTTTCTGACAGGCATTTTTTGCTAAATTTAGTACTTTTTGTTTCAACAATAGAATTTTATGGGTTTTATGTCAAGTTACTCATGGTTTCTAATATTAATAACATCCCATATAATTTTATGTAAATTTTATTATTAAATATGCATAATTTATGCTAATTTGATGACGTCATTGGCCAAAATCCAAGATGGCGGACCATATCATTAGAACAGGTATATACGGGTTATTTTCATTAAAATTTCATCAATATTTCCATTTCTTTTTACAAAAAAGGTTTGAATGAAGGTGTTTAGTATGTTTACAATGTATTGTAGGCTATATCATGAAAAAAAAACTATTTTTGAAAATTCAAGATTGATGATCCAAGATGGCGGATATCTTAAATATGCATGACGTCATTTTATGACGTCACCGGTGTTGCTATGGGCAACATAAGACTTAGTACACGCTAATATTCTGTCATAAACACTTTTGGTAAAGTTATGTTGTATACCAGGGAGGTTTTCAGGGAAAAACCTATTTAGACGGTTTTGGCCAATAAAATCACATTAATGACGTCATAATGACGTCATATTACGTAATAACGACATAAAAATTGTAGATATGATAAATTTTTACTAGTACACCATTCTCTGAAAATTTGGTTGTCATACGACATTCCGTTCGCGAGTTCTTAGGGGGGGTCAAAGAGCCCCCCCCCCCGGTCCCCCCGACCT